ATAGAGATGTCATGCAAAAACATCATTAAATTGCATGCGATAGTGGTCAAAATGGATATTTTCGTTGAAATATGCTGTCTGAAACTTTTCGCGATTACAATACTTCCTTTTTGATTCGTACAAGGAAATAAAAAAGATCTTGCTGGATCAATTTATCAAGATGTTTCAAGCAAAAATCGGATCTAATTTTCTGAACGTCCAGTTTATTGGATCAAGAAATAAAACTTATATACAGTAGGTTTCATTCTCTAGATTCAATGAAAATGATGCCTACTCAAAAATAAGTTGCTAGGCAAAGAATTAAATTTGTAAAATCGTCTGCTGCAAATTAGTTAACGTCACAGAATAGTTAAAATACGCATCTTTAGAAAACAATGTGTTTTTAAAACAGATTATTATAGAAAAATTTTATAAACTTCGATATTTTACAGTACTTCTGTGCTTGTTTCGTATTTTTTGTAACATTTATAAATATTTCTGTATTTGTACTAATCTTACAACACTCTATAGCTTTATATTGATTCTGTCTTGCTTTAGCAAAAAGCGAGATAACCCTCAAGTTTCACCATTCAATTTTCATAGCCCAGCAATACTTTCTTGTGTGAAAAAGTGATAATCCTATTATTTCCGCATATATTGCCATCATTCATGATCATGGAGGTAGGAAGTAAGATGGAGTCGCCCTAAACAAGTTTCTCCGTACCCTGCTCTGAAGCACCTGCGATCCCTAAGTGGTGACCAAAACATTGGGTCATTTACCATTGAGTTCTATGGGATTTGACGCGTTCGGGTGTAAATATTTTGTAATTACGTCGCAAATATACATATAAATGTATATATTTTCTTTTTCTACAACACTTCAGAGTCCTAAGTATGTGAAAACAACATATTTTTAAACAACATTTCATTCTGAACGGAATTAAATGCTATACTTTTCACAGGACAGTTTTCTCAGAATGGTTTAATTTGAATGAAATATTTTCACAAGTTTTTCGTTAATTACAGTAGAAAAAAAAATTAAGGTAATTCGATTTTATTCGGTTAAGGTACAAAAATTAAGATCAAAGTTTATTGTATTATTAATATTAAAATTATGCATTATTTCTTTTCTATTTATAGAGCTTCTTCCTAAAATACTTTCTTAAATATGACATGATTTTTTGGCTTCTTTTAAATCGAAAAATGTAAGTCAATTTATAATTAATGCTCTATTCGGTTCATTTTAAATTAGAGAATTATTAGGAATTAGTGAAATACTTTAAATAAGTATTTCGTTAATTCCTAATAATTAAATAGGTATTAAATAGTATTTGACTTTCTCTGAACATTTCTGAAAGGGAATAAAATAAGTTTTTTTTTTTTTTTTTTTTTTTTTTTTTTTTTTTTTTACCCTTCATTTCAACAATACATATTCCAAAACTCTTTATTACGTTCTTAAGTGCGCATCTCATAGCATTTGCTTTACATACCTTTTAACAGGTTGCTTTCCATACGAACAATTCTTGCTTAAATAGTTTTATAACGTATTTGTCAACAGGATTTCAATTTATGTTTACAATTCAATATTAAGGTTATTATATATTTAGATAACATTTATAATCATTATAAATTAGATACATTTAATCATTAGATTTCTTCACAGTACTTTCACAGTTGTTTATAAGTGAATAAATTCTTCATTTCAAATACATTTATAAAAAATTTAATGAATATTTAAGTATTTTGTCAAAGGCAGATACATGCTTTTTTGCAAGCACATGCATAAATACCCATACATATTTCCTATTTATCATTTCCGGCATGTGCAAATCTTTAATTTCTGTGCATTCACTATATTTTTTGTGTAAAGTAATTTACACTAATTTAGCATAAACCCAAAAGTTTTACATAAAAAATATATATGAATATAATTTGAATGAAAATTATAAGTATTATTTTTAATACCCACTCAAAGGTCAGTTTTTCTTCAAAATTCCTCCACGATGGCATCTCTCTCTTTAGGCAGATAGCCCTTGCATGCGTTACTCTATTTAATAAAAAACTTAATCTGACCTATGTGCCTAATTACAAATTTTTAACATGCATAATTTTTATATTTATATTTAGCCATCAAGTTTCAAACTTTTTCAAATCTTCCAGAAAATAAATTTTGGCAGATCTCTTTTAGCAATTTTCTTAAAATCTATATTTTTTGTAGTGCAACAGCTTAGAATTTTATAAAACAAATTCATAATCAAAATCGCTGTTGTTAGTTATCGAAAAATAACCAAGATTTGATTTTTGCGTAAATGTCAGTAAACTATACAAATTGCTATCATCCATCACACTATGAATGTTTCTTTCATGCGAGAGTGTCCCTTTTCCAATTTCTATGGAACTGTCGTGTGTCGAAATACTATCAGAATCTTGTCGAGCGAGCTTCTGAATGTAAACAAAGAACACCCCGTCTGGTGACCCAAGCTTCAAAGCAGTGCTTCACTTCTAGCGCGGAATGGCCCCTCCTCCCTTTCCTACCTCCATGTTCATGACTTCCTCTGCCATTCTGCATCGATGAATGATGTTATTTGCTTCTTTCGCATTAAAGAGAACCCTTTTTATGGTAATTTTGTTTCCAGCCGTACCTTTCATTAACCCTGCACTGCTCGAATTTTATTAGTAATTAAAAATATATTTATGTGAAGTGAAATCAACAAATATGAATCTCTAAATAAAATTAGCAATCAACTCGCTGCTTTTCAATGAATTCATTGCAATGGAACAATGCTTTGCTCCGCAGAACATTCTTATTTATAAAAGTGGTCCACACTTCAAAAGTCTGAGAAACACTGCATTAAGGCCAAGCATCTTAACTTCCAAAGCTATCACTATTTGTTGGAATGCATTTTATAACAATGCAACTACAAGAAAGATACCACTCCAACTGGTAGTGGTTAGCGTTGCTGACTGCAGTGCCGAAGGGCCCCGGTTCGAATCCCGGAGAAGGCATGGATGTTTGTAAATGTACAGTGTTCATGAAGCATGGGGCATTCCAAATATGCGGCGAGCCGAGAGTCCCCTCGAGAGGTTGGTAGTAGGGGAAGAGGGGTGGGAGACCCTTGGACCCATCCCCCCAGGGTGCTCTCCATTAAAATTGGAGGCGGAACTGAGCTAAATCGCATTGTCACCTTCAACAGGCGTCTCTTGCACTGTCCTAGCCACAAGGTATTTCATGGGCTTGTCCTGATGTTTCTGTCAGACAAGTTATGTAAGTCACAACAGATGTCTCACTTCACCAACAATGTATTTGGTAATGCAAATCATCCCTTATCACCTACTGAATGAAGGGAATGAAAAGATCGTTGTTATGGTAAATACTCATTTTGGTACTGAACAAATTTTTTCCATTTAACAGTTTTGTACGAGCAAAGTTTGGGTGCTGCGAAAGTGGACTTCCCTGACTTTCCCATATGCCACACAGTCGTATTTTCCTACACCAGTTTTGCTTGGCCTTTTTCACTTTTTTTACTTTGTGGCGTTTCTAATAATGCCTCTAGTAGTCCAGGAAAGAATGGATGGTAAAACCAGTTCAAGTTTACCGTTTTTTGTTTAGGCTCTGTACGTTGCTTGAAAAGATAATTTTCTCCGGATTGTGATACTGATCTCCATGTTTTAAAATATATCACACCACAGCTGAATTTCAAGCTGTCCAAAGATAACCTAATCATTCATGTTTGGATATAAATGTATAATGAACATATTTTTATCTCATTTGTAACATACATACACCTCAGCCCACGGGAGAAACAATCGGAACTGTCGCGAAAGAGTACAAAGTAAACAAGTTAACCAGGGTTTTGATATTAACAAATTTCAAAGAAAAGAGATAAAAAAATGTATATACCGTATTTTCCGGCGTATAACGCACATGTGTGCATTAAATGCTTGAGGAAGTAAATATTCCGACACAGAAGATGGAATGTATTCAATGCAGATGTTCAAAAGAATGCTATTTAAAGCACTTCCAACCTAAATGAATTCGTGGAATTAGATATTTTCATTTTGTGTAGTCATTTGAAACCGAGATTTTAAAGCGAAAATCAAAGGCACCTCAGCCTAATGAATTTATTTATTTATTATTATTTTTTTTAAATTTTGGTGCAAATAAAAATCTTAATTTTTTAACCTTTCCTTTTTATATCCGGCGTATAACATGCACCTGTAAATTTTGGTCCTATTTTTTGTATTAAAGTTGCACGTTATATGCCAGAATATATGGTACACAAAAAATACACTTATCTCCTTGTTCTCTTTAGTGTTCAGCACCTTCGTCAGAAAAAAGACAACTTTAACTAAAAACGTCTTATTTTTGCGGTAATTAAAAATGATCTTAATGACTTGAAACAGTTTTGACTGCTAATTTGAACTCATGCAATCGAATGGAATACAAAATTGTTTATAAAAAATATGCTTATTTTTGGTCACAATATGCCAGAAAAATGAAAATATTAAGTGGTTAATTTGTTATCCTACTTTGGATAAATTGCTAAATCTTTCAAATTTTGATATTACTTTACTTTACTTACCTTACAAGCATGACCCAATAATAGCATTTAAAAATATTTTTAAATAGATCAAAATTACCCATTTTTCATTAAATTATACATTAGCATTTCAAACACATAATCACATTTTATAGTTGTTCGTGTTTTATTAGTTTTATTCTTAGTTTATTAACAAATAATTAATTTCTTCATAAATTAATTATTTCATAAAATTATACATTAGCATTTTAAACACATAATCACATTTTATATTTGTTCATGTTTTATTTTATTTTTATTTCTAGTTTATTTTAAAAGAAAGAATTTTAACTGTGCATGATTTTACTGAATTTTAACCACAGCTTTAAACGTAATGCTGTGGATTTAAATTATTGGCAAAGTGACAGAAATACACAACAACTACTGGCCAGATAGAAATTGAACAGCATTTTAAATTGCAATGCCATGAAAGAACAAACAGATAACAAAACCATATTTATTTTACAAACTGATACGCAAATTGCAAACACATGAGTTATAAAAAATATTTAATGAAAAAATCAAGCTCACAATTCAACATCATAATCAGAACTTTGTATGAAAAATATAAAGATAATAATTTGCATATATTAAAAGCTTTGACAATTTAGTGAGAGTTCATGACCTGACAATAAGAGGGTTTGAACAACAGAACTTTACAATTTCTTACCATACTGAAACTGATGAACCCACAACATTATTGCTGTACCAACTGAAACATTCTAAGATAATATTTGTAAAGATAAATTAAAACTATTGTTTTAAAAATATTTAATTTTAAAAGCTTTATGCACACATGTTCTTTTGCACCGACAGATAATCTAACAATCTAACACTTTTTTTTTTTTTAATTTCGTAAAATTAATATGCATTCAGAAGAAATAGCACGTATAAATTTTTATTTTTTCCATGGAGAGTAATGATATAATATACACAGTGTGCACATGTATAATGGATACAAAGAAGATAATCTTGTTTGATACAAGGGAATACATAATGAATAGAAGATGAAAATCATCAATTCATTATGTTTTCTGAAGAATACAATGCCAACTAAACCTTAAACAACTGATGCCAAAATGCCTCCTATGAGACATTGCATGTATCCACCATCTTATGACTCATTAGAAGAATGAAAAATTAATATTGCTGTTATCAGAAGATGCAAATCACCCAACAATTAACTCAAATCCATAGCGCCAATAATTCTTTAGACTCAGAATATTTTCAGATGCATACATTTAATGTGAACAGACATTCCATTTTTCACTTTAAGTACATTATTCAATAAATTACATAAGTTGTTTAATACTTGATAATATAATAAGCATTATGTTAAATAAGTCTGCTCAACTACAGGCTGATGTAAATTTTCTGAGCATATTTATTGTCCTAACATCCTAGAGATTTGACCTATTATTCACAATTTTGCTTATGAAAATTTCACCTTATGGTAATTTACTAGAATGTAAAAATCCACCATTATAAGTAAAAAGCATCAAAGTTAATTAATAATTGTCTTTTCTACCATTCAAATATTAAGAAAAATACTTGACATTAAAAAAAAAGAATCTGAAATATTTTGTGAAACATGAATGATTTTAAATGCATAAAAAGTATACTATATTACACTTGTATATTTGCCTCTCCTCCTTTAATTAATTTTATCTCTTGATAAATGAAAAAAAAAAAAAATACATGGTACACGCTTTCTGAGGGGAGGAAACAAAAGAAGAATTTAGCAGATTAAAAAGTACATATGAAGAGATGTTTAATATTACTATACACTATACCTAAAAAAAGCCACTTACTGTTATCATACCATATTTATGGTAGCAATCTACAAGGCACAGAAAAATAATACAATTATTTTAATAAGAAGAACAGTATTTAAAGTAATCAGATTTCTAAACTATATGCTGAAAAAGCTGGGTACGTGAAAGGAAGAAATATGTCTGTAAATCTAATTATGTTTAATTAAAATATGCCATTGATCTTTATATAATATGAAATTATGGCAACAACATTATATTAATTTAGCATATTAACAGAAAATGAAAAACAATGAGCAACAAAACCTAAATATGAATGAGGAAATATATTTAAAAAATTTTTCTGTAAAAAAGATGCAAGTCCATAAAATTCAAAACTTTTAAATTCTGTAGATATGGTATCTATCAAATGAACTACTTCAACATCTTTAGATTATTATACAGAAACAAAACTAATATTGTCCAAAATGTAAAACCTTATAACCCTAACCCAATTTCTGTTAATATCCAAGTTTCTCAGTAATATAATCATATATATATATAAACTGGTAATAACATCTCTAAATGTAGACCTTTCACATTTATTATATTTAGCATTACAACCTCTAATACTTGTAAATGTTTACAACCTTTAGCATCACAACTTTTGCTACTCATAAAATTACACACTTCCCCAAAAAAGGTTAATACCTAACCTAAGTTCAACTATTTTTAATTCTCTCCTTACATGACGACCATGTTTGAACGTTTTAAACATTTTCCATTCATAAATCTTATGTTATTTTGCCACCGATATTCAAGTTGTTGATTCCATTTAAAAAGCTATTTCTTAATGCATATTAATATCAGTATGCAATATATCTTAAAATATGCAATTTATTTATTATTACATACTCAGTACTTCAATATGTACAATCAAATATGTTAAATTTTAAAAATCACTTACATTATATGTTATTAAAAATAGTACAAAACATTCTACAGAAATATGTTATTCAAATCCAATTAACAGCAGATTTTAAGTATCATTATACACATATATTACTACATAGCGCATTCATAAGAAAAAAATTTTGATAAGTTATTGAAAGAACTTTAAAAAAAGAGCTGACAGCTTTTAACAAGAGAGCATACACCTTTGGTTAAAAGTATCACATAAATATACATTTAAAAACTTAATTTGAATTATATATATCTCAGTTTTTTCAAAGGTACAGAAGAATATGACTTAAGATGATTGTAATCAATCTGAACAACAGAAAATTCCGGTGCATGAACATTCTTCGATAATATATGCTGGATCAATTTATTATAATAGGATTTCCATCTTAAATTACCCAAATTAAAGCATCCAATTTTGTAGCGTCCAACAACGATTCTATTTAACCTTGCTTCTAAGTCAACACAACCATGTGCTGAATGCCTTGTTACATTGAGGTCATAAAAATGTACGCAAAGATCAGCATATTCCTTTAGAATAGGTGCTCCAAAACACATGGGAGGTGGACTTCTTGCTATAAAATAAAACAAATACATTAATTAAATTAAAAAAAATAAGAGTATATAATATTAATTTTCATTTTGGAAACTACATAGCGTATTCGGAAACTAAGTACCGTTTCATTCTAGCGCCGACGCAGCGCTGTGGTAGGCGAACAAATGTCCACGCCGAGGCTCGGAGTGGTCGGCCTTTTGTTGTCACCGATGATTTGGTAAGGAAAGTTGATGAAGCAATTCATGAGAACAGACGCTTCACAATGACAACTCTTTCAGAGGCATTTCCACAAATTTCACATACTGTTTTGTTCGAAATTATGTCTGACCACTTGAATTATCACAAACTGTGTTTCCGATAAACTGTGATTCCGATACTGGCGGGAAGTTTCTTTGACGATGGTATACAAAAACTGGTCACCCGCTATGACAAGTGTTTGATCATTGGTGGAAACTATGTTGAAAAATAGTTTAAGACATGTATTTCAGGTAAAAGTAAAATTGGATTCGAAAAAACTGTTTTATTTTTTATTTTTATTTTTTCAAAACGGTACTTAGTTTCCGAATACGCCTCGTAGAATCTCCAAAGCAAATCAGAAAATACAACTCTTTCAATCTTAATTGGAGTGTTGGTAGCTGTGGATGGGAATCTTGAACCTAAAGCTTTCCCCCCTTTAAGAAATCACTCCCTTCTTGCAACAAAGTGCCTTGTGTGTTGCTTAAAGGATTCTCAGTGGGGTGAATTTCTTACACAAAAAGAAGGGAAATGTAGGTATTAGTGGCTAGGCTTTTAGATGCTTTTCCTCAATGAGAGAAAATTTATTTAATACAAAGAAATACAAGCCTGGAAATGGGGGGAAAAAACATGACCATTAGAGTGGACAACCTGGTCCTTTCAAGCAGGGAACACAATTGACAATATAGTGACCCTTGTCCCGAAAAGGTTAAGTAGGGTTAATTAGCTTAATAATATGTATAAATATACTGAATCTTCATTATTATTGCCAAGTACAGTTATTTATTCACTAAACAGAGGATATTTGCAAAATTTTCCCCTCCACATTACCAAAATATATTGAAATAAATCTATGTTATTTACAAGAAACTGCAACATAAAATAGTTTATGAGAGAAAAATAACTTTTTCCCCGGAATCAGTGCACTAAGATGCCTTTTGTGGCATGAAGAATAGCTAAGGTGTTTTTGGTGTATTTAATTATGGCAAAGCACACAAGGGCTATCTGCCTAAGGGGAGGGATGCCTTCGTGGAGGACTTTCTAAGGGAAACTGGATCGTATACACGTTACACATGGGGAAAACCACGAAAACGCCCATGCAGCCAGCCCGTTCGCGGGATTCGAACCTCGAACCGAACTACCAGTGTTCAGCGACTTTACCGCTCGGCCGCTAGTGGGCCGAAGAATAGCTAAGGAGCAGTCACTGTCACACCATGCTTTATCCAATATCTAGGCATAGATTAAACCGATGGCATTAATCACATAGTTCTTTAATGTTTTGGCAACTGGAATACTTATCCTGAACATAAGCACACAAGAAAAAAATCAGGAGGGGCTTATGTAACAATCATAACAATTACGGCGAATGACCATCATGCCCAATCCAACAGTTCTGAAATATTATCTGATAAATTCACAAATCATTAATCTTTACTGTGGCAGGCACCATCTTACTAGGAAATAAAAAAAAAAAAAGCTGAAGCATGAAAGATGGCATGACTGAAAGCAACTCCACTCACTTGATTAATTGTACACAGCGGGAAAAAAAAAAAGTTCTATATCTCCCATTCTACTGGGCCAATTGATTAAATTCAAATTGAGTTTTTCATTTCTCGAAAATGCAACTTAGGATATATATTAGATTTATACATAGCATTACTGTAACACAGGTATTCTGGCACAAAATTGGACTTTTTCTTAAATGATATGCCATTAAAAGCAAAATAAACCATTTTTATTCACACAAAATATTCTTGTAGACATAGACATAACAATTTTGGCCTAAATGGCGTTTTTAAAAAGAGTAATAGAAATAGATGTTATATTTAATAGGAAATAAAAGTCATATAAAAGGATAATAGTATCTCATTAATTCTTTTAGAGTTGTAATTGATTTATTAGCATATATACACTTTATAGACACCATTTCCTGGCTCATATTTCTCTATTTTCAATTGAAATAAATTTTTTTATATCAATTTGCTGTGTCTAACAGCAGATATTTTGTCTTCTTGTTGCTTTGTATTCCTTATTTTTCTACACGATTTGAGAATATCGTCATTTGTTTTTGAAGAACTTGTAATAACACCGTGCATTTGTGAGAAAATAATAAAACAAAGCTAGATTTTCAAAATGCAAAAATGGCTAGGATTGACTAAGCGGAAAGGGATGATTCACAGGTGATGGAACCAGTACAATCTACTAGGACTAAGACTATTAAAAAGAAAAATCGTTTAGAGAAAATATGATGAAAGTTATTTATCATCTGGGTTTACTTGGCATGGAGATGAAATGGACCCTCAACTTCAATGTGTTGTTTGCAGTGAACTATTATCCAATCAAAGTATGGAACCATCATTTCTTAAAAGAAATCTTGAATCTAAGCAGGCCAATATAAATATATATAAGCAAGCCAATATCTGAAGAATATTTTAAGAGGAAATTATTGGAGTTCAAAAATAGTAAACAATTAATTAACAGTTTTGTTACTTCAAGGTGAAAAAGCTTTGGAAGTTAGTTACCAAGTAAGCCTAAGAATCACCAAAGACTGGGCAGGCTCACTCTACTGGAGAAAACCTTATATTACCAGCAGCTAAAGATATCGTTTTAACATTATTCAACAAAGAATCAGCTAATGAGCTTAATAATATTCCATTATCAAATGAATGAGATTATCAAATGAATCTCATTTGATAATGGAATATTATTAAGCAATATATATATATATATATAATGTTGTATGAACTTAAATCCATTTAGTGCGAATACAAGTTATTATTACTTGCGCATATATATATATATATATGTAAGATATAACAAAATATGATAGCTGTTTCAAAAAAATAATTGACGACCTCAAAATCAACATTCTAAATTTGGTGATCTGCCCCTAAATTCATCTCTTCTCACAGGTTCCAGAGTTTTCTATCTTATGTAACGTTTTAATGCAGATGCCAAAACTGTGAACTGAAACTTCAGCCTTCTTGCTATGAAAATACTATAACCTTTCCCTTTTCCGCATAGCTCTCTTGCTGGTAAGACGCGTTTAATACATGCTGCTGCCGCTTACTTGCTTAAGATGACGTCGTACTACAAAATGGGAGTTATTCTATTCAAATATTATTAAGAAATATCTTACCTGAAAGGAGATGATTTGATATGCATGGAAAAAGTAAAGATTGTGATTTTTCAAGATATGTTGTGCTAAATTGCGTCATCATGCTTTCCACTCTGCCACCTTCAAACCACAGTTTCATTACAATAATATGGCGCAACCGATTTTCGACCCTACAGGTGTGGAACTTCAGTGCAGTTTATTTCAACTCATCTCACATCGTTTAACGAATGGCTAAAATTATAAAGGTAACTATTCATCTGGATTCCCAATCAAGCCACTACGGTCTTCTCGGTCATCTACGCAGTATCTAAGCTGTTGAGAGTTCCACTGCTTTCATCTACGCATTTGGAATCATTACATATTTATAAAAAGTCGACAGGATTCGAACCTGTGCGGGGAAACCCCAAAAAGTCAGGACAGTATTAACCTGGTGCAAGTTTTCCCGAATGGATTTCGAACTCTGCTGCCTGAAATTACCAGTGACTCATCAAATTCATTCCCGGTGTGTGATTTAACGGTATATTTTAAGTGCTTTGAAATCATCGCGTATCTGTAAGTTCAAAATCAAAAATGTTTGGGATCAATGTCAGTCTCGCCAACGTAGTGAAATACGGTTAATCTTCCTTGCTCGCTTCGAATATTCACAATGTTTATTCATCTCCGATCATCACCTAGAAAGAAAATTAAACATCCAAAGTGCTTTGAAGGTCATCAACCTCATTAGTGAAATAAGAAATGCTAAATAGTATTTTGTGCTCTCTTGCATGTTTCAGTGCTTTATTCAGCTAATTTTTCATATTCAAAAAATGCAATATTATTATACGTCATCAAATATGATAGGGAAGTGATATTAATTTCCAAAATTGAGTACATTACGTTTAAAAAAATTGCATTTATAAGTTATAATTGTATTATCATTTATTGATGATAAAGTTTTGCTTAAGTCATTTTAAAATCAAAGTTAATAATTCAAACATTTTATGATTTATTTAAAATGTAGTTTTGTATTTCTGAATTGGGAAAAAGAAATTATTGAATTTGATAAAAATTAGGTAAAGAATTTGAAGGTTTGACTTAGGGAAGGTTCCTAATGTGAATAATATTTTTGTACTATTGTTTAAAAAAAATTTTTTTTTTGAATTTTTACTGTATTTTAAGAATGAAATTATTGTTTGAAAATTTTAAATTCTAGGAATTTCTTTAATGTTTTCAAGATAAACATTGAAGGCTCTCACCTTATGAAAAAATACATTTTTAAATCTAAGTATTTTTTAGTTTTTCATAAAATAAAGTGTGTTTTTAATATTCATATGCAATGACAGCAGTTCGAAAAAGGCCAGTTGACTCTACAGAAGGAACGGAGGCCTTTTCTACAGTAACTGCTAATTTGGTAAATCTTTTGGCCACTGGTGAAGAATATTAAACACAGTTTGCTCAACTGATAAACCAATATGATGGAAATGCTAGTATTTAGATAAAGTTGTGGAGTCTTCAAGTTTTGTAAAGAATAAGTTTGAAATTGTGTTTATGAATGATGTTTTACGAAATTTTTATATTTTAAAATGCCTTCCTTAAAAAACATAATTAAATAACATGAAAGTTGGCATCTTAATTTGTAATATAATAGAAATATTTTCATCAACAAAAATTTGAAAGAATTTTATTTGAACATTTAGTTGTGAAAAAATTTGAACTTTTACCATGTGGAACTTTCAAGAACTTTACAAAAATTTCATTGGACATTCTTACCTCAGAACACTAAAATGTGCAATTGTTTTAAAAGAGTACAGTGTCTAAAATTATTATTGAATTCAAAATTTTATGACATTCAGTGAAATGTCAAATTTGATTCAAAATATCGGTCAACATTTTATGACAATAATTTTTTGTTTAAAAGTTAATATGTTTGTATTTTCCAAATTATATCTTTCACATTTTGCTGCTCTAATGCTTGTTCTTCCACCCTGCTCACCCAACTTTTCTTTTGAAGGGGGGAATATGTAAGATATAACAAAATATGATAGCTGTTTCCGAAAAATAATTGACGACCTCAAAATCAACATTCTAAATTTGGTGATATGCCCCTAAATTCATCTCTTCTCACAGGTTCCAGAGTTTTCTATCTTATGTAACGTTTTAATGCAGATGCCAAAACTGTGAACTGAAACTTCAGCCTTCTTGCTATGAAAATACTATAACCTTTCCCTTTTTCCGCATAGCTCTCTTGCTGGTAAGACGCGTTTAATCCATGCTGCTGCCGCTTACTTGCTTAGGATGACGTCGTACTACAAAATGGGAGTTATTCTATTCAAATATTATTAAGAAATATCTTATCTGAAAAAAGATGATTTGATATGCATGGAAAAAATAAAGATTGTGATTTTTCAAGATATGTTGTGCTAAATTGCGTTATCATGCTTTCCACTCTGCCACCTTCAAACCACAGTTTCATTACATATCTATATATATATATATTAATATTTCTCATTTGATAATGAAGTCTACGAATTCATGAAATGGCATATTCCATAAAAGAGACATTTATTTAAAAATAAAAAAAGTATTTCACATTGCAATTGAATGAAAGTTTCTGATGTAATGAACTTTGTCCAATTATTAGTTTATATATATTTCGAAGAAGATAAACAAATTACTGAAGAGTATTTATTTTGTGAATCTCTTCATTACAGAGCAACTGCAAATGAAATTTTCTGAGTAATAGACAATTTTAGGTTTGAGAATGATATTCCTTGGAATAAGTGCATTGCCGTATACACTGACAGAGCTCAAAAAACATTCTAGTGTTATTTCTTAAATAAAGTTGTACCTGAAACTAAATTTACTCATTGTGAGGCTTTAGAGACAAAACAATCCCCAAAACTTGAAAATCGTTTTGAATCAAGCTGCAAAAATTGTTAGATTTATTAAAAGCCGAGCTTTAAATTAAAAAATATTTACGATTATATGCCAAGAGAGATGGGCAATGAACAAAAAATGCTTTTGGTACATTCCGAAGTAAGGTGGTTATCTAGAGGCAAAGTTTTAAATCACCGTTTTGAACTTTGATTAGAAATTCAAATTTTCCTCTGGGATTCAAAATTTGAATTGCAAAAATGATATTTAGTTAACTATGGCTGGTGCATTTAGCATATTTAGCTGATATTTTTGGAAAGTTAAATGAATTAAATTTAGAATTACAAGGACAAAGTGTTAATTTCTTTACCATTAGAGATAAAATATATGCAATGATTAAAAAAAAAAAACTCGAGCTAATAATTAAAGAACTGAATAATAATATTTTAATTAATGACTTTTACAGTTGTTAGAAAGTTTTCTAACCAAAAATAGCTTGAAAATAAAAGAAGACTTGGCATCCAACATTAAAAATCATTGTTTTTCATTGATAAATAATTTCAGCGTATATTTTACCGAGGATTATGAAAAAGAAAATTGGATTTAGAAATCCATTTGGTTCAAATGTACCTGAAATTTTATCTCGTGAAGAAAAAGAGCAATTGATAGAAATTTCCTGTGATCGAACTCTAACTGAAGATTTTAAAAATAACATGCTTGTTAATTTTAGATGACCCCTCCCCCCAAAAAAAATTGAAAGCATTTGAAGCAAAGCTATTAAATTTTTACAGCCTTTTTGCACAAGCTATTTATGTGAACAAGGATTTTCTTCCATGTTACATTTGAAAAATAAATACAGAACAAAATTAAAAGTGGATCCTAATTTATGGTTAAAACTAAGTGAAATAAGAATTAAGAGAAATTGATCTATCTTAAATAGGTGCAAATTTCACACTAAATTTTAGATTAATAATTGATAATTAAAATGGTAACCAATTTTTAATTTAATATTTTTATGTGTGCATATTTATTACATAGGTTGTTCAAATGGCAATATAATATATATATATATATATATTAATATTTCTTTTGAGAAACTGAAAAATAATCATTGTAATATGTAGTGGTGATACTAAATTTTTTTAGTTTTTGTTTAGATGGTACACGTTAGTCCAAAAAGTTGAGAACTGCTGTTCTAAATCATACAATTATATGATAGAACTAAAAATAGAATTTAAATAAATAAAAAGAAAGACAAATAAATCTTAAAAGTCTGGACAATATCACTGCCTTATTTTTTTTTTCAAAGCCAAATACATATTTGGTGTAATGGGTATTGTTCTGTTACCAGGACCAGGTCCAGAAATGTATGCATTGTATGCATATATATATGTATGTACATATGTATCTGTGGGTGTACACACATATATATATGTACATACTTACATACACATGTGCATACATACACACACTTCTGAATCCAGTCCTGATAACAGTACAGTACCCAGTAAAGAATTTGGGAAAATTTCATTTACCATAACTTATTTCAACAGAGATGCGCATTAAAAAATTTTTATATAAATAAAATATGAAACACATTTTCTCCTACCAAATTAAATAATGAAGTTCCTTTTTATTTCTCATGTTCATTCATTTCATCTGCTGTTTTTCTGAAACTTAATAGTGATTTTAATTTTTATTTACCCTAGCCATAAACATAGGCTATTCTTGTCTTACTGTACTAAACCAAAGGAATTACTTTTTTATTTACAATAAAAGAATGCATATTATATTTAAACAATATTAAAACTAAGACATTTATTTTTTGTTTCATTGAAACCATTTAGAGATGTGCATTTTTTGGTTATCATTATAACGATATCTTTCGATGCATATTAATTATACTAAACGACATAAACTATGTAGAAATAAAGAGACAATAATTTAGCTTACACAGACAAAGCTGGTGTTTACCTTTTCTTAAACCAAGATTAAAGTTAACCAATCACTGCATGCAAATGAACTTCTAAAGCATCTTACATACTTCATATATAAAAAGTTACTTATTTTACTACATTAAAAAATGCAAATGAATAACTGATAAAAACACAAAATAGATGTATTACCTGATATTGTTTCATTATAAATTGTTAGATTGTCAATTGTCACTGTAAAAGATATTCCATAATCTTTTTGCAAATAAGTAAGATTTACACAACCTGCAAAATACATAAATAATTACATAAATGCATATTTTAACTAATACAATGTTATCAAAAGTGCAAAAGTTAATTGAAAATTTAAAAACATTTTTTTAAATAATTAATTTTCTAGGAGTAAAAAAAAATAGCATATATTCAGTTTTTACTTCTTCTGTAACTCCGCAATAATTAATTGCTCTTTTTATATATTTTAACAAAGATGACATGCAATTGACAAATGTTTTCTACTTGCAATTTAAAACAGCTTTGTTATTCATAAAAATTTTAAAATTTACAATAGTTAAAACATTTACAATAGTTAAAATTAGCAAAACATCAGAAAAGAATCATTATATGTTATTTTCCTATATGTATACATATATATATAGTACACACACATACACTTATAGTAAAATATTTTCAACACATAAAACAAATCTATTTTTTTTTTTTTATTCAGTAATTTGTAGCCTTATATAATTCAACATTTTAATGTCTTTCTGTATCATTAACATTTTCCATTTTCTTTCGAAAACTTCGTTACTTTCCAACATATATAACCACAGAATTTTACTGAGATAGAATTGTATTCTCTCCCCAAACCAGTAACATGTGATCAAAAACTCACATACATATTATATTTATTTTCATGTATTTATGATATTGTTTTATAATTTTTAAGACAGGTAAAAGTCTTAAATTTTTGATCCTCTGGTTCCAACTGTAACAGATCAGAGGATGTAAAATACAACATGAAAGGATGATAAACTGTTTTAGACAAGGCAAGAACTTTGAATGTTCTTAAAACTCTCGATTAAAGAGACTCATGCTGCTAGGAAGATCCTCACAATAATAACTGTTTCTATTCCTTCAATGCTGTTATGTATTGTTAATAAAATTTCTCATAGATTTATAAATCTAGCTCAGTTCTATATGCAACAAGTAATATGGAACCAACACCAATTACCACATGAAGTCGCACCATCAGTGAAACAGACCCTCATCAGTCCACTGGTCTGATAACTGCATTAATGAACTAAATTATGAGCAGCTATTTTGATAGTCAAATGACAGTTTGTTCCACAAAACTTCAATAGCTTCAGACTCACCCACATCTTAAAATAATTGCTGACTCCACTGTATCTTCAACTGCACAGAGATAGAATCTCTTGCCACTCAGAAACACCTTTTATACAGAATGACGTAACGCAGCGGATAATAAAGGAAATCCAAAGCAAATATCAAATCCATCTTCTCCAACCAACTTCCGGACAGGCTACCGAAAATTCTTTACACCAGATCTATGCCACTTCAGTCTTCCCTAGATAATTTGAAAAAGAAAACCATCTTCGTTAAAGGTGTTCTAATACAGAAGCATCTAATTCTTCTGCCAGTGTTGTGATTCTATGCAGTTGTGCATACATCAACACGATTTGTATGTGCTTTATGTTCGATTGTGCATCTTCAAAAACTTTCTGCAGGTGCCCACTATTTCAATATTCCAAACAGATAAAAAGGAGAACAAGAAGGTACATTTATTTCTTTCTTTGTTTCTCCAATTTTGTCTTCACTATGAATTAATGCAGTCCAAACAGCTGATTGGTTGAAGGCCACTCACCTTTCTCCTTTGAGGGTGAAAGACTTTTGCCAAAAAATTGGGACAGATCAGCTTCTTACAGAAGACTCAAAAATAACTCTCATTTTGAAATCAAATATCGCTTTACGGTTGAGACAATGTGAAATCCAATTCGATCTAGTTGGGAGTACCAGCGATGACATGAAAGTTCTCCATATTCTTGCAAATTTAGACACATCAACTTTACCACCTGTTTCAGATTTAATCTTAACACCTCCAGAAAATGACAAATATCTAACTTTAAAAAACAGACTAATTGCAGAGTTTCAAGATCCTGAAGTACAGTAAATCTCTAAACTTTTATCAGATTTACAATTAGATAACAAAAAAACAAACAAAAAAAGTTTCCTTTTGAAACAAAAGAAAGAATTATTTTCAAGCAAAGTGCATGATGATTTTTTAAAAACTTGCTGACAAAAAGACTTCCTTTTAATATGCAAGCATATCAGCTTCTTATGCAGATTTGACATGTCTAGCTCAAACAGCAGATAGGGTTTTGAAAGTCACAACAACACACAAGCAACTATTTGTGCAGCATCAAATACTAAACAAAATACAGAGTTATTTTCAACAATAAGTTTAATGAATAAACAGAGAACCTCGCTAAGCAAGTTAAACGTGTGTGCTGAAAAACAGCAGAATCAAAACCCAAGATACTGTGATAACCGTAATCATTCAAAAAGTAAGTAATCTAATTTACACACAAATCATGTCAACACTTGTTTCATTTTTACCATCAAAAGTTCATCATGTCAACACTTTTACCATCAAAAGTTCTGAGGTGATGATCATAATGTATTTCTCCATGCACTTTTCAGTTTTTTTTTTTTTTTTTTCTTTGAGAACATACAGACTCCCCGTGCACCACATATGTACAACACAGGGCTTACAGAAGTAAGTTAACTAGAACATTAAAGGTTACATGTATAAATAAACATTAAAAATTACATGCATAAATAAAGCAAACAAAAGCAGAGAACAGCAGTCTGGACTTCACGAAAACAGATAAGTTCACTGGCCAAGTCACTCCGAACATTTTCAAATCGTTCTGTAAGCATAATCTAGGGCCATCGAATGTAGGGCACGAGAAAATCAAATGTTCCACATCCTGAGGAACTCTTTTTGAACATTCACATAAATTGTTTGATCATAGATTAAAACGAAACAGATAACTTGCAAATTTACCATGACCAGATAAAAACTGGGACACTTTAAAATTAAACGAGAGGAAAGACTCGGAATTCAGTCTATGGTAAATAGAAGGAAGGAACTTTTTGGTGACTTCAGCATTACAAGATGAAATGTATTCCTCATTCCACATAGCTAAAAGCTTTTTATAATGAAAGGACTTCCAATAACTCTTTGGAATGCTAATGTTGATATCAATGGGTAAATTTAAGGCATCTTTAGCTAAGAAATCAGCTCTTTCATTTCCGTAGAAACCATGATGAGCACGCACATAAGCAAAGCAGATATCAATACCTCTAATTCTAAGTGAACTAACAGTTACTAGGATTACAATAATTAATTTATCGCAGCTGGTAATACTGTTCAAAAGTTGAAGAGAAGAAAGAGAATCAGAACAAATAAGGTACTTTGAGGATGTTGTCCCATGATCCTGAATCCATTTGACGGCAAGATAAATGCACAAAAGTTCTGCTTGAAAAACTGTACATTCATTCCGTATACGGTGTCTAAGAAAACAAATCTCGGAATGGCCTTCAAAAAGAACAAATGCAAGGCCGACCTTGTTGTTCATCTTGCTGCCATCTGTAAAGAAAACCACATGAAACTTATTTCAGCAGTCTCTTTATAATCGCAGAAATTTATGGGTTCTAAAGAAGCGGGATGAGGAAGATCAGTGAAGGGGACAATTCCATTAATACAGTCTTCCGAAGCATGAGTTGCCAATGACTCAAAAATATTATTCTTATATGCAATTTCAAAATCAATAGGCGGAAATCCTGCAAGAACAAAAGTAGCCTCATAGCTTAAGGTTCTATAACCACTAATAATACGGAAAAGAATTCTCCGTTGAATCTTTCTTAAATTTCTTTTTTTTAACCTTATCAGGGTCAATGTTCCTTCTTACCTTCTTCGGAAACATGCAAGGACCTGACTTGGAACAGAGAGCTTACTAAAGCTATGTTCAAAACTGTGGGAAGTAAACAGGATGCACAAGAAGGGTATACAAAACCCTTTATTTTTCTCTATTTACAATGACTTCCGTACTTCGGAATACACCGACCCGCTACTTGGGGGGTCTCAAAACGTAAAAGTATAAAAATAAAAACTAAACTCTAATTTAACTTTAGAATAATAAACGTGGAAGATTGGCCTTACATTAACAGGAAGCGTATGTAGTACAGAGAGAACTGTGAACACTACAATACGTTTAAATTTATCAAGAGGATTAAAACCTCTGGCCTGGAAGGCAACAAGCAACTGCGTAACTTCTAAGGTAAGCGGCCTGCTTCGACTCACTGCTTCCTCTCTCTCGCTTGGCAAAAAGCCACAACTTAAATACTTGGCGTTCACCAGACAAACTTTGCATAAAAACCTTAACGCTTATAATTCTGGCCGGAAGTAGAAAATAAGAAGTGATAGTAAAGATTTAAAATAAAATAAACGTTAGTAAAACTTAAGATCCTTACAACCTTCTTGGCAAGAACATGTCCCCAAGCACGACAGCCGTATGAAATGAAAGGTACAATACACTGCTTATACATGAGTTTCTTCACTTTTCAGTTTGAAAACTAAATTTGGTTAATATTCAATAACAAGTCATGGATACTGGAATACCAGCAAACACTTTCAACAGATTACACATATATGATAAACATAATTAGTAACATTTTCCGCATTCCTATGTCAAATGGAAAACATGTTTGTGGTACGGCTCTACAGCTGTTTGCTGCATATAACACTAAAATTAAAATGTATGGCATTAACCCTTTAAATTTAACTTTCAATCCCAAGCAAAATTTTAAATAATGGGATTTCATAATAGCTGATGTTTCAATTCCCATAATAGCAGCCAATGTTTTCACCCATTTTAGACTATGTAAAAAAAAAAAAAAAAAAAAAAAAAAAAAAAAAAAAAAAAAAAAGGAATCATCAACAGATTAACAACTCTTGCTAGTAGTGACACAATAGAGCACAACACTCAGCTGAATGTTAAAACTGTTTGAGAAGCTTTCGGTATCACAAAATCCTTACACAACTTCCTGAACTAACTAATCCTTCTATACATAGCTAAATAATCAAACATGCCAGTGTTCATTATATCATAATTAAAAGACAACCAGCCCACTCCAAAGCAAGGCAGCTCTGATGCAAAGTTTACGATGAAGCAAAATAGAGTTTGAATATATGTTAGAACATGAAATTTGTTGACCCACCAGAAGCAGTCATTACCTTTACACATAGTACATAAAAAGCCTACCGTCATTATACCAGTTGGAGATTACACAGTACATAATTCAGTAACAATTTTTTATTCACATCCTATTCCACATCCACAAGATATTCATATATTATACCCAATCTCTTTAAGGCAAAACAGTGTTTCTAAATTAGATATTGCATGGGCTTATCATCAAAAAACCACATATCTAGGACAGTGGCAATTACCACTTTTGGTCTTTTTAAGGTTCCTTATGTAGATTTTGGACTCAAAAATGCTGCTTAAACCTTTCAGGGTTTTTCATGCCCAAATTATTACAGATACTAAATTTTTGTTACACATATTTAGATGACATTCTATTATTCTCAAAAAAGAAAGCTATCCAAAGGGAAAAAAAAAATCCAAAGTTTTACACAAACTAAACAAATAAAGACTTAAATTAAATACTTCAAAATGTGCTCTTGGTGTTCCTGAAATAAAATTTTTAGGCCATTTAATAGCCAAGAATTGGAGTAAACTTTTACTTGAAAGAGTAGACGCAACACTGAATTTTAAAAACCAAAAACTATTAAAGACTTGAGAAAGTTTTTAGGGTTACTAAATTTTTACCATAGATATATGCCCCATTCAACTCAAAACCAAGCACTACTCAGGGAACATTTAAAAGGTTCAAAAAAGAACAATACATGTAAAAATTCATTGGTGTGTTCAAATAAATGAAGTTTTTGAAAATGCTATTCAACATTTAACAAATGCTACATTTTTAGCACATCCTTCACCAAATGCATCTCTAATTTTTAAAGTCGATGCAGCTGACTATGCTATTGGCGAATCTCTAAATCAAGCTACTAACTACAGACTCAAAACTCTAGCATTTTTTTTCTAGAAAGCTCACAACAAATGAGACAAAATACAGTGCATATAATAGGGAATTAACAGCAATCTATGCATATCTTTGGAAATTTACATCCATGGTAAAGGAACACAAATTTACAGTATTTACCATTCACAAACACAGTCGCAAACCACTAACATTTGCTTTTGAAAAAATACTCTGAAAAATGTTCCCCCACATCAAAATCGTCAACTCGGATTTATTTCGCAATTCACAACTAATATCTAGTACATATAATATTGTTACCGAGACATCATCTTGCATTTATGAAATTTAAAATTATTGGTTATATTGATTATGAAGAAATTGCTAAGACACAAACAACAGATATGCTAACAATTTTTTAGAAATAAACAGAGTTATGCTTCCAAATTCAGAAACAGACTTATACTGTCATAAATCTACTGGCATAGCAATACTTTATCGAGAAATTCCAAAAATTGTGTTTTTAACTGTGTACATAATTTAGCTCTTCTATCCATTTGGACATAATCAAAATTAGTTTGTAGCCGAAATTAGGGCACAGATAATCAGAAAGTATCTTTCTTCAAGTCAGAGGTTCCCAGAATAAGATCGCTTCACATTCTTTTATTCCCCAACAGAACCTGAAACATACTATGAAGCCTAATGAAAGCTTACATAATTATCCAATTCTCCAATAATATTAAACAGAAAGAGGGTATTTTTACATTTTGCTGATAACGGCCATTATTCAAATCAGTTTTGATGAAAATTTTTACAGTTTTATTAATTAGAGAACTAGATTTAAAGAGTTCTAATAAAGGATTTGAATATCTTTGCCAAAGAAAATCAAGATGTGTATGCTCATAGGAAACACACAAATGAATTTTCGGAATGTAAGAAATCACAATCACTTTATCTCCAAACTGCAGTGCAAGCGTCAAGCACCCAGCTAATTGACTTGAATGGAACTTTGCATATTTGTTTGAAGCAAAGGTCAAAGCATCATATTTAGATAATATCTGCCCCCCCCCAACTATCGGAACCTTTTTATAACCCTTTTGGGATGGGTGCGTCCGTTATCACACAGCCAGATGTGTCACATATGAATCACTGTTTAAATTGACTCTGGGAACAGGTGTACCACATATGAATTTTTATATAATACCATTTAATTAGTATTTTTTGTTTAGCCCAATTGTAGTAACGTGTACTGTAGAGTAATTAGGTTACTTTGAAGCAGGAGATATAAAAAATTAGCAATGCCCTTACCAGGACTCGAATGGACCTCTTGAATACCCGCCGAGTGTGCTAACTGTTACACCATGAAGGCATGCAGAAAGGAGGGAGAAAATATCTTATATTCTGTTATGGTGGAATTAATGGAGATTGGAGAATGTTGATTTTCATTCAGTTGCAGCATTTTTTATTTTTGGTATATTGTTTCAGAATGAAAAAGGAAATCATGGGGATAAGTAATATAAATGAACAAAGCTGGATACTAAATACATCAGGGGATATAAACACATGGGGGTGTTCTTGATGTTTTTGAATGCTATTGATTTTATTCTAGGCAATATGGGGATATATGTCACGTTACTTTAGAAGATTCATTCACTCCTCTAAGAATTTATGTGTGGTATTCTTGAGGCGAGTATTTTGTGTATCATTTAGCACAACACATTTTATACTTTTAATGGCATGGAAAATATGATAAAATTTTAAAATTAATTCTAAGCACCACCTGAGTATTCCTTTCACAATGTGGCAAAAATTTAATCTATGGAAATTTTTAAATTTAGGCTGAAGAGTGCAAATAGCCTGCCCCACAGTTCATCATGTTAGCATGCTGTACCTAGACAGCAGTCTGGTGATTAAAGCACCTATCACAGAAGAGGATAATTGCATTAATTTGCAAAGGTACTCCAGAAGTCAAACGCCTTGGGCCAGAAGAGGATGTACACATCATATATGGAGGCAGGTCTCCATGCATGTGGGATGACATCATCACAATATATTAAAAGGCATGACAGAAAAAAAAATGGCTCAAAGCATTTCTAAAGAATTGTTCTCAAGATGTACCACAATCAGATTAGAATCAGAATTTTGGAATATATAATTACGGAAAAAACAGAGTCAAAGTTTGCCTGGACAGTCATACTTGTACACCTGAAGAATGAGTCTCCTGAAGTACCAAGTAGTACGAATACCATGTTACAAAAAGGCCTGTATTTCTGTTTAATATTAGGAAAAATATGTAGTGCCCAGAGCTTTAGAATTTTTTTAAATAGTCTACACATATAAGACTGTAAAACAATTTACAGTAAAATTAAAAATGGTATGGACCAAAAAATTATTGAGACTCAATGTAACCACAGAAATGTAAGAAAGTTAAGTTTTTATGAAAATTCTAGTATACTGGGACAAGAAGGAAAAAAAAATATTTCATAAGATATACACATAGCATGACAGTTCATCAAAACTTGTGCAGGTATCCGTCTTATAACACAATAGATAGGTTCCTAGAAAATACTGTATTGTGTGAAACTGTGTTAAACAAGACTAACAGCCAATATAAAACAAAAAGATGCCCTCCAAAAACTTTATAAAACAAAATATTTTTTTATGGTTCTCACCGCTACCTCAATTAAATTTAGACTTTTTGCAACATGAGATGCTTTTGTCATTTTAACCCTGACTGCTTATCCTGCGATTTTCTCAGGCAATTAGCTTGTGAAAACAAAAGTTTTCATTGCTCAACTGAGAGTATAAAAATTTGCTCAACCTGCAAATTTTGCGGGCATGCAATCTTTTGATCTATTTAAAAATGCATCCCGTCTCTTCCTCATTAAAACAAAAACAGTACATGAGAAAAACAACAGTGATGTATCATATGTAACGGATAATGTTTAATGTATCATTTTTGTATTTTTAATCAGCATTGTTGCATTAATTGTAATTTTTTTTTTTTTTTTTTTTTTTGTGTGTGTGTGTGTGTGTGTGTTTTAAATTTTATTTCAAAGTGTTTCCTTTTAATATATTGATAATGTTTGCTAAGTTATGATAAATATTGATTGTTTGAAAAAACTCTGGAAAAAACTTGCCTCTTGTAAATAACTTTAACCAAAACAACTTTTTAGTTTTTACAAGAATTCAGAATATGATATAATTTTACATACAATATTTCTCTAATGTTCATAAAATATTCTAGTATTATGCTTCAGTGAATTAAGATTAATTTTTAAAAAAATGCATAACTTGCATAAATAGCATATTTACCTGTATCATTTAGGCCAACTTTTGGAACTTCTAAATGAGCACAACATCCACAACTATAATTTGAACATACACAACCATAACTGTTAGCTTCCTGTTTAACTGATCGAGCTTCAATTACACAACTACCTGAAACACAAAATATATAAATAATATCCTATGTCTCATAAATATGTAACAAGCTAAGATTAGACAAAAAAAGATGAATATAATATCTTGGATTAAATATGATTTAAAATCAAGATAACTAAACTTTCATTACCAAAAAAAGGGGGACAGAAAGATGTTCAGATTAAATACTGATGTTTCCAAATGTGCAAAACTAAACTGCTCATTTAAGACTCACTTAAACCTGACCTCAAAAAGACAATGCTAAAACAAATTTATTACATTCAGATTTTTTTTTTTTTTTTTTTTTTTGCTGGTACACTCCACTAACTGGACAACAACTACTGTCAGACATTAATATAGCCACTAAATGTTGCCCAATTACCTGAAAAGATTAAATGAAAATCCTAATAATACCTGCAAAAGGCATCACTGCTATGATATAAGTTACAGTACAAAGTCCGAAACCCAGACGTCCATTATCCAGAATGATCTACAATCCGAACCTCAAAACTACCAATGCTTTTCTCGTAGGCTTTACACATTCTCATCTCAACACACCAAAAGGCACACTCTTGTTTTAGGAGATTATAAAAATTATGTTGTCATTCTCTTCTTTCCATCAATTAGCTATAAAGTTGCATGCATTTTGCAGAAATTTAACTTTCGGGTCGTTTATTCTCCCATCAATAAAATTCAGAGTTCTATACTCAAGGACCCCATTCCGGATACGAATTCCTGGGGGTATTTACAGAATTCCTTGCCAGTGTGGTTTAATTTACATTGGCCAAACTAAGAGAGCCTTCAAAGTTTGTGTTAAGGAACATGAGGCATATGTTAGAAAAAAAGAAACACAGAAGTCTTCTGTTGCCCAACACTGTTGGTCCGAAAATCACACTTTCAATTTTTCTGCTGCCAAAATTATTTAAAAAACATCTTCCATTGGTGAACTGGATTTTATAGAGGCATTTCACATTCAAAAAAATCTTTCTGTTCTAGTTAATGACCCTAATTTCAATCCATCTTTGCCTTCAGCCTTTAAAGAAATTATGTTTATTCAAAAGGGGGGGGGGGGGGGGGGGGGGGGGGGGGGGGGGGGGGGGGGGGGGGGGGGGGGGGGGGGGGGGGGGGGGGGGGGGGGGGAATGGGGGGGGGGGGGGCAAAGAACAATCTAAGGGGGGGGGGGGGGGGGGGGGGGGGGGGGGGGGGGGGGGGGGGGGGGGGGGGGGGGGGGGGGGGGTGGGGGGGGGGGGGGGGGGGGGGGGGGGGGGGGGGGGGGGGGGGGGGGGGGGGGGGGGGGGGGGGGGGTTGGGGGGGGGGGGGGGGGGGGGGGGGGGGGGGGGGGGGTGGGGGGGTGGGGGGGGGGGGGGGGGGGGGGGGGGGGGGGGGGTGGGGGGGGGGCCCAATGGCTTATCTCCTGTCCAGGCTTTCTTATCTTATCTTGTTCATTTGCGATTTTGCAGCTGAGGATGATGGTTTGGTAAAACCATCGAAACTAGTCCTGTAAAAATTTGAAAATATAACGCTGATTTTTGTTATTTGGCTTCTAAATTAATGATCTAATATCTGGAAAAATCCCAAATCGGGAATCTCCGAAGTCCTGACGAGTCTGGATTTCAGACTTTATACTGTACTATACACTATATATATATATATATATATGTATGTGTGATATTTGCAGTAGATGGGCATTGGGAATGATGAAGCTTAGCAATCTAGTCCCATCAGAGTTCAGGTGTGGTCGCTGCGAAGTGGAAGGCAGGTGAATTGAAGACACAGAAGAAGTTTATTTTTTTTAAAAACTTCATAGCTTTATTCACTTAAAATGGCAGATCACTATTCTTTTAGATTCTCCAAAATTACATATCCAATAATGATTTAAATTAAAATAAGGTTAAATTTAAGCATTCAATATCATAACTATTCTTCTTCTAAGGGAAGAAGAAGGGATAGAGCAGCGTGAAATTAGTAACACAACAACCTTGAGCTTGGTGTAGATTTATGTACAAGATATCAATCAATTTTGAGGGCAAACAGGTACAGGTCCCTCTTCGTCAGGAGCAAAGAAATCTGCAAGACAGTTTTGAAACTTGCAAATTTCTTTGCTCTCGACAAAGAGGGGCCAGTACCTGTTTGTCCTCGAAACTGATCAAGATTTTGTACATAAATCTACGAGAAGCTTTCACCTTTTAATTTGTCCTGTTACTTTATGAGCACACCTTCTACAATCACACATTTCTAAATTGTTCTATCAGTTTTCAAGTTTAAATTAAAATATCAGGATCATTATTTTCATACACACAAAATAAAAGGAAGATACTTTAATGTTCAGTGTATTTTTATCTCTTTTATTTAATACTGGTAATACATTATTTGTATTACCAATTTGTTATTGAGCCATTAATATGTGTACTCAGCATTATTTATGAATTAAAATAAACCATATTTATATACTGCTTATAAATGTCATACTTGATTTATTATTTGTGACTGCCTGCGAAAATGAATACAAAATTAGTTCAAGAAAGCCATTTTTTTTATGTTTGCATTTTTGACAACACAATGTCCAATAAAAATTTTCTTACATATACATGTATGACATAAGTTTTGCACAAAACTTCCTTATCTCCTCTATAAGATCACCTGAATTGCAAGTTTTGTCATAGATTTTTCTTTATCAATCAACTTCAACTTTTTGTAGGATTGACTTCTTATTACATGCTCTAAGCCAATTAAAAAACAAGCAAAGCATATTCTGTGCAATAGAGCAAATATTAACAGATTTTTCGCATTAAACAGCCAACAATTAATTAATAGCAAAGGCCATTTAAAAAGGCATTTAGAGGTGGAAAATCTGCAAAATGGATCGATCACTCATTATCAAATTCCACAGGAAAGGCTCATAAATAACTCTTGTTGGCATACTTTTTTTTAAATCACTATCTTCTAAGATGTTTTTGGGTAAGTATTGCTTACTACATAGTCAAAAATATTTTATAAAAGGGAAAAATACATAAAAGTTGGACAATGAAACTAAAATACTTGTTGAACATAGCATTCCCTATTTCAAGCCAGCAAATTCCACTTCTGACCAGAAGCCCTGAAAGATTAATAGTAGCAAAGTGGGAAGTCTAAATTTTTAGTTTAGAGTCAGAGTCCAAGATCTGGATTCGGGACCATAGTATACATTTCATAGTCTATTAGCTGATTGATTATTGAGGCATTTTTACTGCTATGGAAAACTTCTACTATATTATCTTCATTTATTACTAGTTCTCTACCTTTCATCACAAATTTTACTAATCCGAAAATTTCACTTTTTGTTTGTGATATCCCAAAATCTTCAAATTCACAGCTATCATCCTAAAAAGCTTAATGAATACACTAATGGCAATGTATCATGAGATTTGTGACTAAAGACATGATATTCCACTAAAATTTGTCTCGCTCCAATTGTGCGGTGAACAAATTAAGCCTGAATTATACAGTCAAAAGTCGTTAATCCGGACTTTGGCGATTCCCGATTATCGATTTTTCCGGATTATAGATCATCAGTTTAAATCTCGTTAAGATGGCATGCAGAAATTCTAAAATTAAAAATATGAAACCGTAATTTATGAAATAAAGAACAATTATGATCTAAAGGGTATCAAAATTTACAAAAAAAAAAGCTTAATATTTATTTGTTTACTTTATTAAACATTTCTTTCAATGTAAGTTGTTTAAGTTGCTTCGTTTTATGTGATAATACTTTCTCTTTAATTCTATAAACAGACATAATTTCTTGTTCAGTTACAAAGTTCCGCTGTTCAAGTCTCGTTAATTGCTGTGCCGAGAATACCGACTAACTTGTCAATCGAAATTTTTTCGTTTTCACTGATCTCTCTGTCACATTCTTTGTGTCTGTATCCATTTTTTGCAGCAATTCCACTTTTTGTTTGTTGGACATTGAAACATACTTTCGTTTTGTAGATCCTTTGGAAGTTCCAGCATTGGAAATTCTATTTGACATAATCGAAAGTTTTAAGTTTACTTTTATAAAATTGCTCTTACAGTCTGCAAAAAATAATAAGCAGGATCCAATTCGAAGATTATGGAACAACGCAAACATTAACTGAAATAGATAATTAGATAATTTTAGCTTACACCATCCGTTATACATTAAACGCGCAGGCGAAAACGTATTCTGCACTTGCGCACACGCATATGCGCAGTAGTCAAGGTCTTACGCGCACGCGTAAAACGCCTGTGCGCATGTGCCAACGCGGCGCATGCGCAGAAAGTTTTTAGCTTTGAGGTCCGGATTATGGGTGTCCAAATTAACAACTTTTGACTGTATTACTTTTGTAATTTAATGTATACTTCCCACATATGTTTAAGGTTCATATGAGTCCCAATGAAATAAAATTCCCTTATACTAAAAATACTTGAAGAGATAATTTTCTGCCATGCATTTTGGCCACATTTTTAATCACAAACAATTTCTAGTAATAAAAATAGTTTATAGAGGGCAAACAGACACACATTGTACACTAGGTACAAAAGGCTTATGACAACATTAAATCAGTTACTCAATTCAAACAGCAATCAATGACTTAAGAATATCATTTACAAAATATATTTAAAAAATTTTTGGTTAAATTTCTTCTTATCAACACACTGAACACACGTATAATGTCAGCATCAAAGGTTACAATGCTGTTTGCTATTCAGTTACTTATATTTAAAACAAAAACTGTTTTAGATATGGCTGCGTCATTTCTTAAGCTGCCAAAAAAGTCACGTGGTGATGAAAGCAAAAAATAATAAAAAATAAGGTTACATGATATTCAGAAACATAAAATCAGTGTTTATCACTCCTACTATGTTTTGGTTTTGATGTGTATGCAGAGCAATAAGCAGCTATGGAATGAAACTATTGATCATACACATATTTGTTAACAAATGATTGTGTTTGTTTAAAGGAGAAACAAAGTTTAACATAAAATATTAAGAATCGGGACTCTCCACATGTTTTAATG